TTCTTTTAATTATTCTTGAATTATTTCACAAATCCCCCTTTTTAAAAATTCCTCAGTGAACAGGGAAATACATTCTTCATCTTGACTTGCATTGTTTTGTTACCATCCTTGCCATAATGTAATAAAGCTGCCCTTCATCACACAAAAAGTAAGGTATTTATTCCTTTATTTAGGGACATTAATGTATTATATATTTTTTTGTACAATGAAACCAATTAGGTATATATGCTGGGCTTCCTGAAACTCTGAAAAAAGAGCTTGGAAATTCCTCTCTGCGTTTGTTCTTTACAGGAATTTAGTCTGCCTCAAATCCTGAGTGGTGACTTAAGGAATAGTCTCTTGCCATTCTGTGTAAATTAGTTTAAAATTACTTTTTAAATGCCCCCCAAATATTGATTTTAGAAGTCCTTGATTTTTCAGAAGCATAATTTACCCTTTTGGAAGTTTCAGATCAATCTCAAAAAATGTAAAATTATTTATTATACATTATAGAAGTCTTATTTATTATACAAAAGATGTCAACATCTGGTGTTTTACTTACTATTAGTTCTAAAACAAAGAAACTAATTTACTCTGATGACTGAGACAGTGATGCCATACAATATCAGCACTCGTCCTTTTTCTTGCAGTCTCTTTAAAGCACTAAATATTTTTTAAAATTAAATAAACTATGAAGGCCTCAAATTTTGATGAGAAATTTAGTGAGAACATTGATCTTTTTTTTTGTGCCAAATGGGAGACCTTTTAAAACTGACTCTGACTTTTGAGTGTGAAAGTACTTGGAGTTGGTTTTTTAAAGTTTCGTAGGGTAGAAACTAACACAACATTGTAAAGCAACTATACTCCAATAAAAATTTAAAAAAAAGTTTCATGGGAATTACATCCTCAGTATTTGTATGTTGAGTTAGGCCTCTTTCTTTTCAGATATTCAGTGGTAGCTAGATTACTTCTAACTACTGACCATGATCACCTGGAGCCAAGTGGGATGCATTAACTTTCTTAAGGCTCCAGGAAACCATTTGTTAGGTTATAATTCATGGGAAGTAAATAACAACCTGAAATATGTAAGAATTAATTCATTTCACATGCACAAGCAGTAGTGTCTCAGGGATGATCATCATTGCTTGGTTCAATATAGGAGCAAGATCTTGTGGAATAGTCTTGGTCTTGAAGCACCATCCCAATAATTTATTTAAAAAGTGTTACTCTACAAATAGACTTTTATCTAAGTTATGCCAATTATTAGAAGCTCTGTCTAAGGTAGGCCCATCAATCAAGTGTTGAACATTGAGAAAAAAGAGGGCATAAGAGTAAAAGCACTGATAACACCTTAACAGTATAAGCATGAATCTGTGTCATCAGTAACACTGTTAAAAGCACCAATCTATGTAACCAATCTGTTCTTAATTATTTCTTCAAAGGATGAGATTTAATAAAAATGGCTTATTCTGTAATAATTCATTTCTCTTGTAAATACTGAAAAGAGAATTTGAAAGCAAACAAGTGGAGAGATATAATCCATAGGTTATGAACTCATTAATTCTTCAAGTAATCATGGAATGCTAATTATATTCCAAGTTTTGTCATAGGTACTGGGAACACCTGTATCATCTATAATCAGTCATTTATTGATACATTTCTAACTATTCCCTTAAATTAGGCTATTTATTTATAGGTAAGATGGTATTCACTCCATTCCTAAATATTCCCTTAAAGAAAAAAGTAATTCTTACTTTTTTCACTCGGCTAAAAATATCACTTACACATGTAACATCTTGTTTTTCCCCTTAACCATAGATTCAACCAGAAAAGCACCAGGATGCTTGAAACTTCCTATACAGAAAATCCTCCCCAAATAACCTTTTCTATGATGCTTGCAATCACACACACAAAAAGTGTTCTTAATTTTCTTCTCCCTGGGAACATTTGAAACTTGTACAAGTGACTATCTTGAAAAGTTGAAAAAAAGAGTATGAAAAACAAAAAACAAAACCTTAGTACTAAACACTCCACTATTAACTTGATCATTGACAGTATAGTTTTACTAATCATCTAGAAAATGAATAATAACCTATTTTAATGCTTTGTCACTGATTTAAGCTGTTCAGTTATTTTGTTCCCCCTTGGAAGCCTTAATTATTAGAAGTGTATTAAATGTAGCTAAAAATGAAAAGTACAAGATTGAACAACTACCCAGGTGTTTGTGTTTAAATAGAGATTACCTTTCCTTTATAGTTTCCCCCTGCTTATATTTATATTTTCCACCTGAATTTACAGAGTTTTTTTGACTGATTTGCAGGGTCCTAACATGTATGTTTTATCTGTACTTAGCCACATTTTAATTAATCCTTTTCTTTATACTGACTAGCTTTTTGAAAACAGTAATAATTTAAATTCTTAAATAATTTCCCAAAATGTATTAAATGTTTATACTTGCGGATTTTTACCTTCCAGAAATCTTTTGTGATTTATTCTGAATCAAAGCATTTGTAAAGGTCTTAACACTGACACTTCAGGTTTACAGATTTAAATGAAAACTGGCAATGGGGAAAAGGAATAGAGAATACATATGGTAAATAATTACCAATGTAAGAATTTTAAATTTTATTTGAAGTTGCTTCATTTTCATATATCTTAATGATCACAATGATGTAAAGCAAGTAGACTCATAAAATATGAAAAATTATATCCTGTTAGTTTTTCTTTTGTATTTAAATGAAGAATATATCATTAACTTTTCAAATTTTAGATACATATATATCAATATGATGTGCATTTTTATTTTTCTAGTAGATTTAAGCTTTTACATGCTCTAGATATTTTTTATCAAGCTCCTATAACTCATACTGTTTTTAAGCAAGGATGCTCATCACAGCATTGCTTACAAATGTAGAAACATTGAAAAGCATGTAAATCTCATTCAATAATGAACTACTTAAGGTAAGTTATAGTACATCCACCCAATGGAATACTATGCAGTCACTAATTGATGATACAGATTGGTATTTATTGATATGAAAAGATGATTATGTTTTAGTTTAAAATAAAAAAACAGTACATATAGTATGTTTTCTTTTTTTTTGTAAAACTGTGTGTATACATAGAGGAAAAGGCATGAAAGTATATGCACACACTTAAAATATTAATGCACACACAAAATATTAATAGTGGTTATCTCTGAACTCTGGGAATTTTAATTCCTTCTTTATAAGTTTCTGCATTGTTGTACATTATTTTACAAGAAGCATGTATTATGTTTATAATCAATAAAAACAGTAATTTCCATTTGAAAATATTTGATAATGAATATACAAGTCATTTGTAGATAAACAATTACATAGAAACAGGTTATTCTCATTATTTTATGGGCAAATAGCCAACAAAAGTGTTAATAAAATTATATATTTATATTGTATTATGTATGAAACCAAAGATTTCTATATAAATAAAAACCAACTGAGAATAGAGTTAAAACATTTTCTTACTGTTGGATCTGTGGTATGAGTGAATCCTATTTTTAAAAAGTAATTATTTCAATTTTACATAAATTAGGTATTTATCTCTCTAATCCCAAAATCGATTCGAACTGGCGTATATTAAAAGAAAGGCAATCCAAAGAAAATATGAAAGCAAGTGTAATATGGATGGAAGGTAGATGGATATGGAGAAGAGGGAACTAAAAGTGAAACACAGAAAGTCCATCGTATAGAAATTACAGGCTAAATAATGTAATTGCAATATAGAACAGAACATTTTGTCGCAACTTCCAAGCAGCTAGACAAAAAGAAAACAATTAAGAGCTCTCATATGATAGATGGAGGCATGTGACTTAATCAAGAGAAATGACCTTTTCCTTAACTTTGAAACATCTGTGAATATTACCTTATTGATATATTCAACAATTTATAAGAGATAATGACAAGTTTAATAGAAGATGTTATTCAAAGTAGTTTTCCACATCATTACAGGATTGTTTACCTTCTATATTGACACAATAGAGGCTGAAGTTAATCCTAAAGTTATTTATAGACAAAGGCAATTCAGTGCTGTTATTCACCTTTCTTGTTGATTAAACATGATCCATGTATACCTACTAAGGAGTTTAGAAAAATGAGTGATAAGAATGCTCCTTAGGGCTTCCCTGGTGGTGCAGTGGTTGAGAGTCCGCCTGCTGATGCAGGGGACACGGGTTCATGCCCCAGTCCGGGAAGATCCCACATGCCGTGGAGCGGCTGAGCCCGTGAGCCATGGCCGCTGAGCCTGCGCGTCCGGAGCCTGTGCTCCACAACGGGAAAGGCCACAACAGTGAGAGGCCTGCATACCGCAAAAAAAAAAAAAAAAAAAAAGAATGCTCCTTAGACTGTCTTCAAATATCAAAGCTTTCAGAAAAGGTTTTTAAGATGAAACTTAGAATTTAAATAATCAATGTTTAAAGTATTAATTTTCTAAGGTATTGATTGAGGAAATACCAATATGCTTCTTTCTCTGGGCATGAAGTTAATAACGAAAACTCTCAAAACTTAGTCAAAGTCACTATCAAGTCTGTGGTATGCCCACAATATATTAAAAAGGAAAAAATATATAAATAAATAAAAGGAAGAAAGAAAGCTCACATCTTTTAAAAGGAATATTCATTTTAAATAATAATTTAAAGTGAACCTATACACAAATATTAACTGGATCATATACGCTTTCCCCTGCTCTACTGATTTCTCAAAAAACAAGTTAGAAATTTTCACTGTGATAGACTCAGAAGTAAGGACCATCTCGAGAATACTTTCATAGGAGAAAATAAATTTAGTAGTATTAGTGAAATAAGGAAGGAAATATACTCCATTACCTCACTTGACTGGTTTAGCAAAAAAGCATGTGGAGGAATAAATTTTATTCTACATATTCCTAAGGCTATTATATCGAAAAATAGTACAAAATGACAGTTTTACAATTAGAAATTATGTTCTTCACTAAAATGAACAAGGTTTTCTAGTTTCACTTTTTTTCAAAAGAAAGTATTCACTTAAAAAATGCTGTGAATTCACATAAAATAACCTCTTATCACAAAGTAGCCCAAACTAAGTAGGCACCAGCTTAAGGCTGAAACAAATTGAGCATTCTTATTCTCACCACCTGCGCCTGGCCTGGCCCAGCGTGACATGCAGAGGCTTGGAGCCCACTATGCGACCATTCATCTCATCTACTGCTTTGGTAGCCTCTTCAAAAGAGGAGAAGCAGACAACACCAAACCCTTTGCCTTGCCCCACTTCCACCATCACTTTGGCCCGGCTAATTGATCCAAAGGAAGAAAATTCCTCCTTCAGTTTTTCATCATTGATGGTCTCGTCTAGGTTCTTAATATAGATAGGCACCCCTGGAGGCCGACTTTTTTCTTTTAATCTCAGCCGCTCAAATCTTCGCCTTAATTCGGCCAGGCGTTCAATTTTCTTCTGTGCTCGCCCTACATAGAGGACTTTCCCATCGATGGACTTTCCATGCAGGTCTAACACAGCCTTTTGGGCAGCCTCGTGTGTCTCGTATCTCACAAATCCAAAGCCTTTCGATTTCCCACTGGCATCTCTTATTACCTTAACACTCTCAGTTGGCCCGTATTCACTGAAAAGTTCCTTCAGTTTGTCGTCATCCATGTCATCTCCAAAGTTTTTAACGAAAACATTGGTGAAAGTCGCTCTATCCCTAGTTCTAACTTCAGCTGCCCGCTCTTCCGGAAATTTGAATCGGCCAACGTACACCTGGCGGTTGTTGAGCCGCACTCCATTCATGTGCCAGATGGCCCTATTGGCAGCGGCCAGGCTGTCAAAGTGCACATAGGCATAACCCTTAGAGCCGTTGTCATCGCATACTACTTTGCAGGAGAGAATGCTCCCAAAAGCAGAAAACAGATAAAAAAGGGCCCTATTGTCTATGGATTTGTCCAGGTTTTTGATGAATATATTTCCAACTCCAGACTTTCTTAAGCGGTCATCTGGCTGAGACCACATTAGGCGGAAAGGTTTGCCGTTAATCAAATCAAAATTCATGGTGTTCAAGGCCCACTCAGCATCCGCAGGAAAGCGGAAGTTAACATAACCATAGCCCAGGGGGCTGCGGGTCACCGGGTCACGGCAGATTCGGGTGAAGCGAAGAGGGCCAGCAGGCCTGAACTTTTTATATAACATGTCCTCGGTGACATCTGGGTCCAAGTCACCCACATACAGGGCAGCCTTGAGGTACTTCTTTTTCTTGCCAGCAGGATTAGGCTCCCCACTCCCCATCTCTCTGAGCACAGGGAGGAGGCTTTCTTGGGAGAGAAAAAGAGGTTGCTTTCTCTAAGCTATGGGCCAAGCAGCTGTTCACAAACAGAAAAAAAGCCAAGGCGAAGGAAGCTAAAAGCAGACTCAGAATCACTGTTGAGGCTGAGAAAATGAAGTTCAGAAACAGCTGGTCAGCAGGCTCAGAACAAATGCATCAGACAAAAAAGCACCCCAATAACGAATCCGTTCTCCCTAAGGTGGCTTAGAATTTCCACCCATTCAGATCTAAAATCAGTTTCAAAAGCCAGTAGTAGGAAAGAAATGTCCCTTTCCCCGTTAAATTGTAAGAAATCATCAAGCAGCTGGCTGGCTCCCCACACCTAGCCTTGCCGACAGAGGCCTCACGACCCGTTTTCTGCATAAATATAGGCCTCAAGCTCGTGTGGGCTTAAAATGATATCAACAAGGGCAGGAGCCGAACATGTATTCCTCCGCCGGCTGCCTGGCCGGTCTCAGGCGGGCTCGCGCTCACTAAGGCCGCGCTACACACACTCAGCGTCAGCGAAAGGGCAGACTGGACACTTGGTGCGCTGCGGCCGGGCAGGCAGGCTGCAGGCGGCGGATCGGACAGAGAGACAGACAGACAGACACACGCGCGGGGGACCGGAGACCGCCCAGATACCCAAGATGCCCACTGGGTACGGACCGAGTGACGCGCAGAGATTTCGGCAGCCTGAGACTCGCGGCGGGTCCGGAGGGACTGACTGGCAGACGCGCACTGGGTCAGCTCAGACGCGAGGAGGTTCCGGACAGATGCGGGGCGGAGTCAGGAAAGAAGGGCAGATGCGCGGCGGGCGGGCAGAGCTCAGACCGATGGACAGGGATTGCGCCCTGCAGGACACACCGACCCAGGGACTAAAAGCTTCTAGCTGTGGTAGGGCGAGCGGGCGGGGCGCAAGGAAACCCGGAACCGTGCTAAGTAACTTCCCGCTTGCTGTGTGCCAAGATGTTAAAAAAAAAAAAAAAAAAGAAAGAAAGAAAAAAAGAGAAAAGAACGAAAGAAAGAAAAAGATTTAAATGGTTTCTAGATTTTTCATTTCTTATTTTTGAAATTTTATTTATTATTTTAAAATATTACCTTTAGGCTACTGACCCCAAAATCAAAGGAGGTGAAGACCTAGGCGTGACTCTCATAATTTTTTTGTTTTTTTAAATGAATTCCCTAAATCGTTTCGAAATAGCATATAGGTTGCATACTTTCCTGAGTGCATTGGAAACTCAGTTGACAGCTGTACTGGACTCCCAGTCCAGTGCTAAATGATCACAGGGTCAAATAAAACACAGGCCCATGTTGTAGTTGGCCTTTATTTTTACTCCATTGAACTTCAACATAATGGTAGCATTATCCCCAGGTAATAGGCAGCGTTCTTTTCGCTGCTCCAGTAATACTAAGGTTTTAATGATTGGAGAGCCATAAAATGACTTTTAAAGATACTTAGTGCCAGGAAACGTTGAAGATGTGCTGCCTCCATAATCACAAATTGCAAAATCTTAGTTAAAGAGTAAAAGCTGCAGAATCAATGCAAAATATATAAAGTTTGAAGATGAAATAAACACGTTAAGATATAGGCACTTTACACAATTAATTGCTAATTTCAACTTGAATTGTCAACTTTAAACCATTCCAGGGAACAATGCTATAAGATTAGACACAGCTCAGAGGTTTCCCAAGATCTCTCTTTAGAGTTCGTGGTAAACTGTTCTGAAGAGGAATGTTACCCTGTCTTCGGAAAATCATCAGTGTCTGTAACACATAACTCAACCAGCCCCTTCCACAAGCCCTCCCCTCAAAAAGAAAATCCGAACAAAACATATGTCAGTACTGTTAGGCTGGAAAAGATCCTGGCAAAAAAGGAATGCAAGAGAAGGACATCACCCCAAAGGGTGTTGTCTTAAATTCTTAGAATAACAGGCTAAATTCATGTGTTGCTTTATTTTCTACAGTTTCTATTAGACGGTAGAGTTGACTAAAGATGACAATTTGCCCTCATTATTTACTCAATTATTTTGTAATTTTCTCCTCAAGGGTTCTTGCTTAGCTAAGACATGGAGACTATGTGAGAAAAAGCAAATACAAATTAAAAAATGTTATAGAGATAGACTAATAAAAACCGGTCTTAAAATATCACCACGTTGACCAATATGTAGAAACACTTGTGAACATGTGCTTACTTTATTGTACTTTGAACATATACTTTATAAACATCTTTCCTCATAAACTTAATTGACAATGGGCCAGAACTTTTGTTTTTATTTTTCTGATATAAAAGTATTACTTTACTGAAAATGCTATATTAAAATAACAACATAAATCCAAGAGAATAATTACCACAGTATTATCACTAAATCAAATTAATATTTTATTTATGTAACCACCTAAATGCTGTCCATATTCCAATTCATTTGTATATGTTTTCTCTAATATTATAGATGGAATTGGGTTGTTAAAAATAATTATTTTCGGGAATTCCCTGGTGGCGTAGTGGTTAAGAACGCACCTGCCAATGCAGGGAACATGGGTTCGAGCCCTGGTCCGGGAAGATCCACATGACATGGAGCAACTAGGCCCGTGTGCCATAACTACTGAGCCTGCATGCCACACCTACTGAAGCCCACGTGCCTAGAGCCTGTGCTCTGGGACAAGAGAAGCCACCACAATGAGAAGCCCACGCACTGCAACGAAGAGTAGCCCCCACTTGCCGCAACTAGAGAAAGCCTGCATGCTGCAACAAAGACCCAACTCAGCTAAAAGTGAATAAATTGGAAATACTTTTAATAATAAAAATTATTATTTTCAGAATAACCTCCACTCTACACTTGCCAGCCATTTTGGGGTCATTGTAGTATAAACATTCTAAACTATAGTGAACATTTTATCAGATCAAAAATCAGAAATTTAGAACTGCTGTGAAATAAATAAATTTTAGTAGAGTTCCCTCTGCTAAGCAGAAGTTTATGGGAAAAAGGGAAACATTTTCATCTATAATTTGTTTAATCATTTTAATATTTACATTGAGAATTGTCTCTGGGATAAAAATCAGATGTGGAACATTTCTCTGTCATTTTTATTATATATTCAAGGTAAGTTTATAGTCTATGTAAATCTGATGCATATATTAAATCCATTAAAAATCCCCACCCAGATTACTAAGGCAGTTGGTTGAAGCATATCTGAGTCTTTCTAAATCTGAGAAACATTTTGCATGAGGAAAGAATCCTGGACAACTGGTATTCTAAGTGCAACCTACCACACATTGTTATTTACAGTTGGTAGAAATTTGTCAGCATGAGAGGAAGAAGAGGACAGTTGGAAATTTATGTTTTTCAGCCTTGTCTTAACAGGCACTTTATCCTGTTTCCAATTAAAAGTCTGAGTTGTGCAAGGTGCTCGGACTTCACAATGAAAGTAAATTTGCTACTCTCTTGAATGAAGTCTGGGATAGTTGAACAAAGTAAAACCTTTATTACCTAGAACTTGGCTCATGTTTTTCAGACAAAGAGAGGAAAATTGGCAAAAAAACAATTTGGCATTAAACATGTAGTAGTAAGTTTTGGAGCCAGTAGCAACTCTCTGTCTCTATTTCCAAAATTTTATCCTGCTCCCTGAGTATTTATGCTCTGAATGATAATCCTGAAGGCATTTTGATAAGATTTATTATCAAAGAAAGATTAAATTGTGTTTATTAGAATGTACTTACTGAAATGAGAAAGTAACCAAAAGTGGAAAAAATTTCAAAGGAATATACAATGGAACGGGATTTATGCTAAATTGTCAATAAACCAGAATATCTCATTTTTCAACATTTAACCAAAATTTCAGTATTTCAAATTATAAAAGTATAGTTTAGATATTTATTCAAAGGCTGTAGCTATAATTCATACATTTATAACCCTAGGTGGTTTGATGGAAATTAAGAAAGATTCTTTTACAAAATTTTAACATTTTTTTCCTTTCTCTCATTAATTGAATCCCTGTTGAATTAAAAAGTCATGCATTCAACTGTGGATAAATCTGAGTATTAACATATAAAAATAATATAACAACTTCATATATATTTAGATTTAGTTAGGTGTATCCTTAGGGTTCTCTTTTAATTAGATCCTATTAGTTTAAAATGAACCCATGGAATATTACAATGTAAATTTATGCAATTGCTATGCATTTAAAATTCAGTCTATTTAGAGTTTTACATATGATGTAGAGGCAAAGTATTTTATCTTATTATGCATTAAAATAGGGTAGGAGTATCACCCAATTGACAGATAGTCTCAGACAAATCTCTCCTTACTAGGGTTTGTTTACTGAACATATGCCTCATACAGGGAAAACACACACACACACACACACACACACACACACATACACACACACACACCACATTCTTTGATTAAAAATCCTGAGTTATAGTCATTTCACTTGACCTAGAACAATAAATAAAATAATAATTGTTTAAAAATGTAAACTTTATTTTTATTTTCATTTTTAATGGTGGGAAAATATACATCAAATTTACCATCTTAATGATTTTTAAGTGAACAATTCCGTGGTTTTAAGTACACTCACATTGTCATCACATTGTCATGCAAGCGACATCACTATGTCCAGAACTCTTCATCTTACCAAACTGAAACTCTGTACCCATTAATCTATGCTTTTAGATGACACAAAATATGTTAAGCCATTTATTTACTGTTGGACAATAAAGCTGCTTTTAGTTATTTTATTGTCACAACACACAATGCTATAATAAACGTCCTTATTCACATACTTTTATATATTATTACTCATTTCTATTAAGTAGATTCTCAGAAGTGGGTATCGTACACTTAGATGGTATGTGAATTATTAAATGTTAATATATGCTGTCAGAATTATGTCAAAAATGATGACACAATTATGTTATGTTATTTTATGTTACGTTAATTATGTTATGTTATGTTATGTTATTTTACCAACAACATAAAACTTTAGAGGAAATGGCTAACTCCTAGCAAAATAGGAATTACCAAATTTGATCCAAAGGAAAAGTGGAAGAATTGCCATATAACAGATTAGAGAAAGATTACACATATGCTATTTAAAAACAAAAAACAAGCACAGGTGATTTTATAGTTGAGTAGTATTATATAATCTTTAAGAAAATACATGTAGTGCTAATTCTATTCATACTATTCTCAACCATAAAAAGCTCCTTAAATCACTTTTATAAAATTGTCTCCAAGAGAAACTTCTCATAAGCCTAGCTAATGTTTTCAAACCAGAATAAAGTTATAGATTGATGGTCAGTCCATTTGCTGATAGAGCTTGGATATATATTGTCTCAGTTGTGTGTATGTTTGGGTGTAGGCAGATTGCAGGAGCATGGTTAAGTGTTACATAATACGGATTTAGAAGGGAATATGTGATGGGAAGAAAATTAAAGACTTCCATTTTAAAATGTCAAAACAAAATAAAACATATTCCAGATACTGATCATGATATCTTGCACTTTTTTCCTTTCCTTCTGGAAAAACTGTTCAGAAAAAGTAAAACGTGGAGAACAGTTCTTCACAGATAAGGAAAACTGAACATTTAAATAAACAGATGATTGAGGAAAATACTCTGCTTATCTTTCCTAACCTAAAAGTTCAAATGCAAAATAATACATTACTGTT